TCACAATAATTTCCAGGCTAGAACTCTGAATGCACATTTGAGTGGATTTAGGTGCATGTTGTAAGCTCAGAGTTGTGCGAAGAACTAGGAAAGGTTGTCCACGTGGTCCCCAAAGTTAGTGGTCTTTTCTAGCATGTCAGCAATGTAGACTTCAATGACTTTGTTGATTTGCTTCTCAAAGACTCTATTCATCATTTGTTGGTAAGTGCTCTAGCATTTTTAAGGCCAAAGGGAATTACTGTGTAACAATAGCTGGCCTTCTTAATGATGAAAGAATTCTTCTCCTCGTCTCCTGGGTGGATGCATAGGAATATGGTTTTAGCCCAAGTAAGCGTTCATGAAAGAGAGATTGAAAGTATGAAGAGTTATTGACGAGCTGGTCTATGTTAGCCAATACATATGAGTCCTTTGGACAGGCCTTGTTGAGGCCATATAGTCCAGGCACATGCACCACTTCCTATTGAAATTCTTCACCAAGACGACGTTGGAGAGCTAGGTGGTGTATTAAATTTCATGGATGAAGTTGGAGTCTATGAGCTCCTTCAAATTCTCTTCTATGCCTTGCCTAGGTTTTGGGTCAATCTTTCTTTCCTTCTAGGAGACCGCCAAAATAGATAGACAAACATGGCAACAAAATTTCGGATCTATACTTGGCATGTCGAATGGCTTCCAAGAAAAATGGTCTCTATTCTCCTTGAGGAAAAAGATCAACCTCTCTTTAAGTTCAGACTTTAGAGCTCCACCGATCTTCGTGTGTTGGGCTGGAATTTCTCCAAGAATCATGTTCTCCAGCTCCCCCTTAGGTTCTGGCCTCGTTTGTTGTTTGGTTTCGTGCATATCCAGCTCGACTAACATGACAAGACTATCTTTTGGTCTAACCTCTTAGCTTTATCCCTGGTCAGTTTTCAATGACAGATCTACGGTGGTGAGGATGCTCTCGTTGTGGTGATCTCCATGGCATCATAGTAGTAGGTTCACAAATTCTTTTGATCACCTTTTAACAAAGATTACTTCGTTTCTTATAATAACCCACATCAATAAATTAAGTAAATTGGATTTTGCCATAATTTATCAGGTAAATAATTAGATTAAAAATCTAATTATCATATATAAATTAGATACAAAAATCTAATTTATTACAAAATAAGTAACTTTTAGATAGAGGTGCAATTGTTGTAAGTTTTATGGTGAAAATGCAAATTAGGCAAAAATATCCAAAACTGACAGATAAAACAGGTAAAAGTTAGATATATAAAATTTAAGAAACTAGAACACAATTTTAGAAATCCTGAGTCATTTGGCTAGAGTAAGTAAGAAATGAAGTTCAAATAGAAAATTACCATGTTTATTAGTGTAACCAAATACCCACTAGCCACTTAAGTGTTTAAAGAAAAGAGAGAAGGAGACTCAAAAGCTTACATTTTCCCTTCTTCTTCCTTGTTCTTCCAAAGCCTAAACCACTTCAAATTTTCTCCTCTTTCACTTCCACTACTCATTTTTGGCTAGGGTTGATTGCGGAGAGAGATATCCTCCCCCCAACCATTTGAAAATTTGGGGAGATTTGGTGTTTTTGGGTGTTTCGAATGCATTGGTACTTGGAGTCTCCTTCCCCTTGCATTCTAGGATGACTCATGGTAAGTTTGCACCACTCAAACCTCATTTTCATGGATTTTTAAGATTGCTAGGTTTTCCATGAATAGTAACCCAAAAGTGTGATGATTTGGCATGGATTGTATGGTTGATGCATGATGTTTCATTTTGTAGAGTTGGTCCCAATGAGGTTGTAAGCGTTTCTCACCAATTGGAATCCACACTTATGCAAGTTGGAGAAATGTGAATTTTTCACATAGTGGCAAGTCATGGAATTATGGTTTAAGAATGTGTTCTAGCCAAATGCTTAGTGATTTATGTGTTAAGCGATATCTTAATCACAATTCCACATGTTGCTATAAGTTGCTTGTTGTGGTTTGTGTGGTTGAGAGCTCTACCAATAGAAAAGAGCAATTTTAGGAAGTCTACAATACAGGTAAACCTCTGGACCTTGGGGTCGATCCACTTGTGTGTTCCACCATACCCCATTGGGGTAATGGTTGTTTGATAGAGATGCATCATGGTACATGGCATGATAAAATGTATTTTAAGATGATTGAGACTATGATGTTAAATGACATGTATGATAGTATCTATGGATCCAGTAAAAGATGTATTTATGTTATTGCATTCCATGGACCTAGCAAAAGTTCATGTGGTATGAAGCCCAACAAACCTAGCAAAAGTTTATATGGCTTGTAACTAAGGAGACCTAGCAAAAGTCTCTTGAAGGCAATGCATGGTATGGACCATCCTTGGGCCTAGCAAAAGTCCTTGGGTTTAATTCTTATGAAACCTAGCAAAAGTCCTATAAACAGATAATGACAGAACAGTATGAGATGATGAAATGTATGATATTCTGTTATGATATTATGTATGCTCTTGAAGTGAACTATAGGGTAGAGTAATCTCCAAGAACTTTAATTTACTGAGATTTATATCTCACCCACGTTATGAGGATTCATTTCAGGTACCACCACTGATAGTGAGGGAGTTTCCCAAGGCAAGAAGCCAAAGATAGCTTGATGCATGATGATTTAGCACATGATGATTTTTGTTTACTTTAAACAGGTTATTTGGAAACTATTATGAGTATGTTGCATTTTGGTTGCCTAAGAGCTGTATTTTGGGTAAAAGAACCATGAACATGAGTTATGTAATTTAAACATTGCATTATGATTTTTTTTTTTTTTTTTTAAAAAAACCCATTGCATTATGATTATGTAATATGAGGTTCAATGAATAAGGTCTATTTTCCAAGGCGGATGGACCCATTATATGGGTCCCGAGCAAATTTCAAATTTTAAGAAAAGAATCACAATACATAGATAAGAATCGCATAAGCCGACCAAAATATACGATTTGTTTGACTATAATTCAATAACAGCATTCAAAATTGCTGGGATTTGTATATCTGTCAAGAAAAAGAAAATGCTTGAAATAAAAATACATAGCACGAAAGTAAAATTTCTTTCATTTCTCTCTTTTTCTTTCCCCAAATGTTATACTTGGTCTTGAACTATTGAAAGACATTAAGCACAAATTACAGTCGCCCTAGTCATGAAAATAAATAATTCAATTTACCTTGTTATTGTTATAGAATGTCTTGGTATTGTCCTCTAAAATCTTCTCATATTCTAGGTAACTTAATTCGAAAATATGCGGTGCCTACTAAAACTTGTGTAACATTGAAGATGAAGGTTATGCCATTTTGTTAATGATGGTTCTGGCATTGCAACATCATCGTCAAATGACGGACAATAAGTACCGTTCATGAATGATGCAGCAATGACAACAAAAAGGCCTAAAGCAATAATAGCACCAACTACACCACCCACAACTTGCCCTTGAACACCTGTTAATTTAAATTGTAAGAACAGTGATCTCTGGTGGTGCTAGTGGAGGGAGGATCGACCCTAACGTTGAGAGAATCTCAAATTGACCAAGAAGGACCACAATGGAACCGGAAGAGGCTAGTTGGCGTAATATTACATATGTTACACTAGCGGTCCCACTACGCATGCAAATACCATGTTGCTTCCTCCTTGCAATGTTTAACAAACTTTCTTCCACACATCATCCCGAGCTTACTTCTTTGGCATAAACACTAAGAATAGCATTATCCCTCGTCACAATTATTGGTGATTTTGGCTTGTTTTTTGATCCACTCCCTTTGCTGCCGAAGAAACCGGGTTGTGAAGATATTTTTTGGATTACATCCGAGTATTCTCACAGCCGATAGCCATGAGACTAGCCCCTCGCTCCGGGTCAGCGCACAAAGCGGTAAAGAGCTGTAACATCAATGTGCAACCTAATTGAATTTAGCTTCTTCTTCTTCTTTCTCTCGCTTTGGTTTATTGCCTTGGACAAATTGCAGTAACAAAAGAGCAAATAGCTCTTTCGCCACATGGAAGGTTAAGTAGACTACGACAACAAATTTATTGATCCCAACAAAATGATTGAATTTACAACGGAGTTAAGTAGTACCAACCCCACCAAAAACTGTTTATTGCATTAATCTACCTAATTCACAATAACTAGACATCATGTCCATTGCCTCTCCACAATAGATATCTAATGTCATTCCACTCCGGTTCAGACCACGTCAATTCTCATCATCATCCTACAGGGATACTTAATATTAGAGGTGTTCGCGATTTGTATTGGATCGATTTTGAAATTATCTGATCTAATCCCTTTGGTTTGATCATGTAATCATCCATTCAGTTTGAATTTTTTTTCAAATCCAATCTTATCCTATCCAAAAAAATTTGCTTTGAATTAGATCGATTTTTGATTTTTTTAAAATCTTAAAATTTATTTCATGATTATTGTGCAAATAACTTCTTTTGTATAATAGTGTTTGTAAAAAAAATAAAATTGAAATACAAAAAGCATCAATAAACGATAATATAAAAAAAAAAATTTGAACAATGAAATATAAAGCTCTAGTCAGATAAAATTTTATTGATGAGATGTGACTAAATTTTTTCTCAGATTTAATTGATGAGTTAATGGATCTTGAATTTATAAATTTTTAGACTATGATTGAGAAAAGACTCAAATAAATAGAAGGGAATTAATATATTAGATCAATTTGGATTGGATCAATTTTTATCAACTGATTCGAAAACCAATCCAATTCAATTAAAATTTGTGATTTTTTTTGGTTTTCGATTTTTTGGTTTTCGATTATTCGATTATCGGTTTGGTCACCGCAATCTGAATCGGTTTGGATCGGTTGATGAACACCCTAGTTAATATTTAGGAGTCCACATTCCTGTAAAATCTACATCAAACTGTATATCAGCTTATGTTTGTAATTTTTTTATTTTTTTATTTTTAAAATCTGTCGGGGTGAAAGTTTATATTCCTCTTGCTCCAAACAAAAACAACTAGCACTAGAAAAATCGATGCCTAAGTAATACAACAAAATCAACGCATAAGCCAGAACTACAAAAGACAAGTTCAATTCTCTTTGAAGTATGTACAATTGAATTAACGCACAAGCACCTAAATGAAAATAATAGCACCCTAATTCACTTAAACCTGCTACATTAATTCCTCATTAAAAAAGGGGGGAGAAAAAACCAGCAGGATGTATACTGTTAGTGGTTGTGCTTCCAAAATTGATGCAATTGCTTGGATGACAAATCTTGAAAACTACCTGACGGCTGAAGTTCTTCCAAATTCTGTGTCCGGGAAGGATAAAGGTCTGAATAACCCCGACTTGTATATTGTGACAGGGAAGCCTGACTTGGCTGTCCCAGGATGTTATCCCGGGTTCTCTCTGGGAGCGAAGATCTAGACTCAGCTCCATAATCCCATTGAGAAAAGCTACCATGCTGGTCAGAAGAATGACAATAAAATCTATTAAAAATTTAGATAACAGTAGGCTTAATAGGATAACGTATGCCAAGGATAATGGTCACACTTGGGGATAACCTATCCATCAAAAAATTAAAAAAACAGTTGTACGTCATTCCTTTCTATTTTCTGGGAGAATTTTATGGAGAGGAGGCATATCCAGATCAACAATAGCTAACTTTACAGACCATTTTCTCATAATATGCACAATGGTAAATAGCATTCAAACATGAAAGCATTATTTAAGTACACTGACTATTACCATATTAACAATAGCTTTATATAGAAACGATCATTCTTCCTCAGAAATAAAAATGTAAAACATACCTCTTGAATAGAGCTTAAGTTACGACCACCGTTGTATTGAGAAGGTAAAATCTGATCAAAGCTACTTGAAGGCATCATATAACCACCAAGAGATGGGTTAGACAGAAAGTTTCCAGGCCTATAGAAGGAAGAGCCAAGATTTTCATAACCGAATGCATCTCTGGCTGTGGCAGGAGGAAATCTACTCATAAGTAATTCATTTCTATTTTGTGCAATGTTGTACTTCATGTCTACATGAGATTGATTGTATGCATTATTGCCTGAAAATGTTTGAGGTGAATTGGTGGTTGTCATATATGACTGATTCTGGGGCAGGGAACCATATCCTTCTGTGTCAGGCAATTGTTGAAAATGTAGTGAGGATTTCACTGTAAGATCTTGGGGAAGTGCAGATCTGTTAGGTAAAGCAAAGGCGCCTGGCTCCATGACCTGCATGGTTCAACAACCGTCAAGAATATCAATGACACTAATTATCAGGTTCAATTTATCAATAACTTAGTCACGGGCATGGTTCCATTGGCGCCTTTAAGCCTCAAATAATTGATACCAATGCACATTCCTTTAATGTTAACTTTAACTCATTTGGCATTTGATATCTACATTAAGATAATAAAATAAGTTATCCATGGTTTTAAGGTTGAAACAGCAATCAAAGGATGGTTATTGAGTCAGGTGTTTTCACCATCACAAAGAACTTAATCTTAAAACCTAACCAACTATTGCATTCAACATAGCCCCATTACTGTTGCACCATAAGTCCCTGCCCTGTTAAAAAAAGTCCTTGCTCCACCAAGAGCAGCAGCTTCCCAGTAACCCATGTGTTGTCTGGCCAAACCAATGCAGATACCACTTTGCTGATAGGTAATCCATGAGAGAACTACTCAACTTGATATATATATATATATATATATATATATATATATATATATATATATATACAGGAAACCAAACATATATTTTCCTCATCTATTTTTATTGATACAGGATATGTGAGCATCAAGACAATAATACAGTATTTGGATTAGAAATATTGAAATCAGAACTTTTGGGTATCATTAACTTCTTAATAGCCAAGTATATATCAGCATCAAAGATCAAAGACTTGAACCACCTCTTTCTAGCTAATCTTCGATGAAAATTTTTCTAGTGATTAAAACTTCAGTAGCTGACTATTCCAATCAAAGAAAATCGGTTCTATCAATTTATTAGCATAGGGCCATAGGCATAATTACAATAAAATCACACAATTAATGGGCGAGCATAGAAGATTATTCCCTAGCTACCTCGGACATGGAGATGGCAGGATTGCGTATGGATGATACTGCATTATTGTATATTGCAGGTTGAGATTGCGACATGAGGAATGCCAACAAATCACCAGGTATTGAATTTGAATCAGCATGCTGCGCCAAGGTAAATAGGAGGAAATCTCAAAATTATATAGCATTTAAAAGCTTACACGAATGCAAGAATAAGTGAACAGCCATTGAGCGACAAAATCATAATTTGACCACCAAGTACCAACCTATTACTAGGAAAGTGTTAAGCATCATACATTAATACCCAACATTACTATCAAATGCATAATCATATCATACAGCGTATTATTTGCAAAATCTAACCGGCATATCAAAACAGCACAATAACCTGATAAATGCACCCCAACACAAAAGAAACAGTTTAGTCATGCATACAAGGATATATCAGTTTAAGCATCAATCAAACTCTATTTCACAAACATGAAGCAAATCGTGTATGTCATATTGAGACAACACACCAGCATTTCAACAGAAATTTGTTTTCTCTATATATCATATTGATTAGGGACTTATACTCACTGATATTAAATTAATAACATAAATATGGAAGCTCAATAGAGAGAGAATTTTGGGAAAGATATCAGAGTGAGAATCTAGTTGCTTAATTTTTCAGCTGACTTCTATAGTCATGGAAAATGAAAGAAACAAGACAGTTTAGCCAGATCCTATATTGAATAAGAACCTTGGACCATAAAACAAACAATATTCAAATCCATATCACCCAACAGACTGCATTTTCCAAAAAAGAAGTTACATGCTATATTATTTTAGACCATAGGCCATATGCATAGATCTTTATTATGTAGGAAGCCCGCAATATCAACAAGAAAACCAAGATATAGAACTCAAGTTTGAAAGGCTTTAGTGTCACCAGTTCTCTTGGAAAATTAGAATGGTTTCCAATCAGCAAGTCTGGCTTCTTCAAAGGAACTGATGCAGATACCATAGTGTTGTAGTCATGCCCAAGAGTTTCCTCCGGAACAATATACTTCTCAAGCTCTTGCGGAGGAGATGAAAGTATGTCATGGTTTTCATAATCTGCTGTTCCTCTAAAAGCATCAAATCCAAGCTGTTTATCTCCAGGGTATAGAGCACTAATACAGAGAAAATAAAAAAATGAGTTTCAATAGAGATAGCTTAGCATATTAGAAGGTGAAAATGGAAAAGAAAATGCCTTGCGTCCAGGAACTGAGCCGAAGAACCATCTACAGCTGCAGACTTTTCTTCCAAGCCACTTCTAGAAATATGGTTAGATGCAAAAATTGCAGAAGATGCAGAGTTTCTGCCACCATTATATGAACCGAAACTCAAATGTGAACAATTAGCAGCCAAGGCTAGTAAATGATTTGGAAGAACCACAGTAGGGCTATCTTCGGATGATGGCTCTTCCAGTTTGGATTCTCTTATACTTAGCCGGTGGAAATCTGAAGCAGTTGATGACACATCTACAAAGACAACACTAGTAATTTTATTTAAATTATATTAATAGAATAATGACAATCCATTACCTACTCCTGAGAAAAAAAAACAAAGATATTGTGTGAAACCGATAATTTTCCATGTATTAAGAATGCATAGAGCAGCATATCTAAACATTGCTTTCTACAGATTCTGATTCAAGGACAGGAAACTTCTCTACAAAACTTATGTACAGAAGTCAAGAATTATGATAATAAAAAATGAGAATAATCAGATTTCAAATTTCAATGGATTCTATCCAAAAACCAAAGTATTAATAAACTCAATAAACCAAAGTATCAATAAAACTTCTGTGCACGTGGTATTCCCCTTAAAACCTCCTCCAAGTCTTCCCAAAATTGATTCTTATTGGTTAATCGTAGTCCAATTTGGAGGCCATACATACCGAAGATATTCAAAATTAAATCACTCACAAGTTTAGCCAAAATAATCCTTGACACCTTTTCTTCTGACATTAACAACCCTGTCTTAAAGTTTTATCAATCATAATCTCAACTCCATTTTTACTCTTGTTTATACCTGCGTACCACAACTTGAACTCGATACCTTCTACTTCTTTTGTCTTTTCTCCAACCCACTTAGTCTCTGTCAAACAAGCAATATTCACTCTCCTTCAAGCAAAAAACATCTGCTAACTCCCTCAACTTACTGGTTAAGGTTCCTATGTTCTAACTTCCCAATCGCATCCTTATCCATACGACATTTCTTGCTCGCCATACTCGCCCATTTGCATGTTGGGACCTTGTCATACTTGTCAACAAATCCAAGTGAAGATATGGCATCTTTCCTTGGGGCAAAAGCCCTAGGGTCCAATGCAACGCATTCCTAAACAAAAAATCAATGATCTTGTCTCTATCTACGAAAACTTTTTGTCGAGTTATAAAGGCACCTTGCCATCACAAATCATAAACATTCTCCATTTCAACCACCTACCTTGAATTCTATGTGTTGTCTTTGCTTTGGTTTCCCCCATCACTCTATGATTTGATGCCCAATGTTCACCTCCAAAACATTGCTAGTACAAATCTTGCTAAAATTGCATTTCATATACTCTGTCCTACTTCTACTTAACATATAACCATTTGACAAAGCTTCTCTCCACAACCAAATTTGCAATTTACACCACTTCACTCATTAACTAGAATTATATCATCTACAAAATACATGCACTTTGACTTTAGCTTGCTTGGCATATTCCATACTGAGGTAAATAAGTATGGATTCAAAGATTACCCGTGGAGCAACACTATAAAGTTAAAGCCTATTAGGAGAATTTGTTGTTAACTTTCCATGTATTAACAGACTAGTTGCCTCACCATGCATATCATTTATAACTCAATATATGCACACTAACTCCTTTTTCCCCCTCCACATAATGTTCTTGTGGTATCCTATCATAGGCTTTTTCTAAAATCAAATAATTTACAAGCAACAGTGCATATATTAATAATGACTGTTATTCAATCAACTATAACAACTATTTGTACAATGTATTCATCAAAATCAATTTTTTTCTGCTAAATATATATGGAAGCACATCAAGATAGAAAGGAAAAAAAAAACACTAGCAAGACATTCATGGAAACCTGTCTTACCCATTAAATCTTTCTATTTGGTTTTTGTGGGAAGTTGAACCATTAGTGGCATACGAAATTGTCATACTTAATGTATAGTCGAGCACTAACATTAAATGTTAGTGGGTACTATCACCTAAGAAGTGGTCTTGTAAATTATCACTTGTATTAACTAATTCCTTGTGTATAAATAGCATTCTGCTGGGTGCATTTCACTCAAACCATTAAACAGAAAACTAGTTCTATAATTCTATATTTCTTTACATGGTATCAGAGCATATGGGACTGCTCTGACCACTACCACTGCAACCCTCTGATTGTTTCCTAGCCTTCATTGCCATCTTTTTTTCTTTGTTTTCCTGTAACAGCCTTAATTGCTGTTACTTTTAAGGAGAGAAAAAATCCTTTAATCCATAATATTTTTTTTTTCTTCCTCACCACATAAGTTGAACTAAGGATGGCATCTAATGATGAATCCACCACCAATTACATTGCTATATCTGAAAATCCTGCACCCATTGAGGCCTAAATCAGGAAGAAATTGGGAGACGCACTCATTAATAGTCTTGAGAAACCTACAGGTAGTTGCTCTTTGGCATGTTTAGGTAAGGTCACCCTGTCCCAGTAGCAGGAAAATTGCCACTGCAGATGGTACCCTTCTCACAGTCATAGGAATTGAAACCATTAAGCTTACCCCCTTAATTGTCCTTAAAAATGTCCTTCATGTACCTAAATTATTTTCAAACTTGATTTCCATCAAGAAACTAACCATGGACCTGTCTTGCCATGCGTTATTCGATCAAAATTCTTGTATTTTGCAGGAGAAAAATTTGGGGAGGAGGATTGGGCATTCTGATACGAACCTAGTCAGCAAAATAACAGAATTGATCCAGCCTAGGTGACGTGGCTGACTTGGATAACAGAATTGGAGAGATTGTTGAGGAGGGTCTGGTTGGTTAAATAGGGTAGTGTGCATTGGTGTAAGGCATCTTGGATATTTCTTGGACCTTGAACTTGGGAAAGTGTAGAGCCTCTCCAATTGCTCTACATTATCCATTTCTTCTTTCTGCATTTTTCATTATTGTTATTGAATTTTCCATAAAACTACATTGTTCCTGTTATTGTAATGTTCCTTATTGAAACACTGTAACTGTTGGTTCATATCAATATACCATTTCTTGAGGTATTATTCCAATTGTTTCTTCGATTTGTTCTTTTGTTCCCATCAAATTGGTTAGTCTGTATCAATTGGTATCAGAGCTATCCGATCCGGGTAGCTTTGAACCACGCTGGTGTAAAAAAAGATTAAAAAAAAAAATGAGAAATCAATTTTATAGAACGAAGGTTCCTACATTTTCTGGGGAAGAAGAAGCTTGGGGATGGTTGATTCAGCTTGAGCAGTACTTCGAGGCAAAGGGAATTCAGGATAGTGAAAAGCCATGGAAGGCTAGGAAGGCATTCATCGGTCAAGCTCGAATCTGGTACATATATTGGTATAATCCAAAAGTTACTTGGTGGACATTTTTAAAAGCTTTCTTCAAGGAATTTCAACCAGAGGTTTGCTTGGAAGATGAAGAAGATGAAACAGAGCATGAAGTTTTCAACTCTGAACTAAAGTCAGAGGCAAAGACGACACTATTGAAAGAGAAGGAAGGAGAGGAGAAAATCAACAAAATAATTGAGGGAGAAGGTTCACCAACACCATCGCTAGAACAGCCACTCGAAGCGGTGGAGTCATCGACAATAGAGTGTGAGAAAAATTCAGAACAGTTTCAACTAGTTAAGGGAGCTACGCAAGTGATGGCGCTGCCACTTCCAAAGGCGATAGTGATTGACCTACCCTCGTTGCTGGAACCACCGGATTTGGACCTCGGAAGCGGTGGATGGCGACTAAGTGCAGGAATAATGGTGGTTGGAGAGGAAGTTGAAACGCAAGAACAAGACGCATCGGAAAAGAGAAACACAATTAGGTCAATGAAAGGCTTAAGAGATATAGGCCAGATTGCAAGCATAATGGAGCGGGCCCAAAATACTCTCAAAATATTTCTGGACCAACACAAGTACATAAGTGTTTTTTATGTCAACGATGATATTGGGCCAAGCTTACTCAGAACCCAAACAATTAGTTTAGACCCATCAAACCTGAGAGGTGCTAGCAATACCCTAGAAGTTGACAAGACTCTCATCAAGACTGCAAGTGCTAATGTTGACGCTTTAGAGATTGATGTTGCCTTTGATACAAAGGATACTATTTTTGTTTTCAATTGTCAGGTGGGTCTGGGCAGGATAAACACTGAAGTAGTTGCATGTTACCTTGGGAAGCTTCGATTTGATCATTATAGGTCCATTAAATTACAAGGAGATGTGACCCATGAAGAATTGGAGGCTGGTTCTTCAAGTAGAGATAAAACTATGGTTAAATTTGTGGAATTTTGCAGGGAATATGCTTTTGCCATCTTGGAACAATGTCAAAAAAGATTTTGCATAATTCATGGTGAAAAACAGAATATTTTGAATGTTGGATTTTCTGGAAATTATGGAAGGGGTGAAGAACAAGAATGGGCATTGTTAGATTATGTGAAACAGGGGCTGGTTTTGTTTGAAGCAAGGCAATTTTCCATTGTCATTAATGTTTTTCATCAACTTGATGAGGGTGTTGTGTCTACTAATGAAAATCCGATATTTGAAGCTCGTGTTACTTGCTATGCAAAAACAAAGGCAGAGACACTTATTTACAAATTTGCAAATAAGGTTTCAAGTGCAAAAGCAGAGTGGGACCCTAGTGGGCACTCTTATGTTTTAGATATCCGTTGGCCTATCTTTTTCACACAGTGGGATCCCAGTGGTGGAGGTTACATAGCCTCGTGCATTAGCTGGCCATTAAATTTCAAGCAATGGGATCCCGAAAAATGATCACCACCTTGAGGACAAGGTGATTATTACGGGGGGCGTATTGATACGATCCTAGTCAGCAAAAGGGTATTCTGTTAGAAGGTGCTACACAAGCAGGGAGTGGAATTGATCCAGCCTAGCTGACATGGCTGACTTGGATAACAGAATTGGAGAGATTGTTGAGGAGGGTCTGGTTGGTTAAATAGGGTAGTGTGCATTGGGGTAAGGCATCTTGGATATTGCTTGGACCTGGAACTTGGGAGAGAGTAAAGCCTCTCCAATTGCTCTACATTATCCATTTCTTCTTTTTGCATTCTTCATTACTGTTATTGAATTTTCCATAAACCTACATTGTTCCTGTTATTGTAATGTTCTTTATTGAAACACTGTAATTGTTGGTTCATATCAATATACCATTTCTTGAGGTATTATTCCAATTGTTTCTTCGATTTGTTCTTTTGTTCCCATCAAATTGGGAACAAGACGGCCTCTGCTTTCTT